TACAGCATTAAAACCCTTACTCTGCAAATCTCGACTAATTATAATAATTAATTAATTAATTAATTAATTAATTATTAATTAAACAATCATTGAAGATAGCAATGATGGAAGTTTAGCAGCAGCAGCAGTAGACGTAAGAAGTTCGAGACCAAACTTTTTTTTCCATGAAAAGGCTATCCAAAATAATACAAAAAAATATTTACCATTATGTATTACACAAATATCCCCTACACACATACAAACACTTACATACAAATATCCCATACATACAAACAAACACTTACATACAAAAATACGCATAAACATGGAACATACAAATATCACATACATACAAACAAACACTTACATACAAGTATCCCATACATACAAACAAACACTTACATACAAATATTCCACACACACATACAAACACTTACATATAAATATCCCACACATACAAACAAACACTTACATACAAATATTCCACACACACATACAAACACTTACATATAAATATCCCACACATACAAACAAACACTTACATACAAGTATCCCATACATACAAACAAACACTTACATACAAATATCCAACACATACAAACAAACACTTACATACAAATATCCCATACACACATACAAACACTTACATACAAATATCTCACACATACAAACAAACACTTACATACAAAAATACGCATAAACATGGAACATACAAATATACACAAACAGAGTTATACCAAATAAAATCCGAAAAAAAATTAATAGAAAGTGTATTGCATTATTTAGGTACGAAATGTTATAAAACTGAAATGAAAGAGAATAAAATGAATGAATAAATTCTAACCAAATGATAAATGCACGTTAAATCTAATGATCACCGTTATAAAATAATTATTAATTATTATTAAACAATTTTATTAGGTTAAATTATAATAAATTAAAAATAAATTAAAAGTATTCAATAATGACGATAATATTATAAGTAGAAGGGCAGTTGTTGCTTCAAGAAAAAAAAAGTTAATTTCATCGTCATTAACGTTAATGTAAGCAGAAGAAGTATTTATTATGAATTTTTGTTGTGGAAAACATGGTTAATGTCATTGATGTGTGATTGATGTTGTTGTGTTGTATTGTCGTTGGTACTAGCAAGGTTGTTGCTGTTGTTATACAAATTATTGCTGTTGTTGTTGTTGTTGTTGTTGTTGTTGTTGTTGTTGTTGTTGTTGTTGTCAATCTTAAATGCAATGTCAAACATTATTACAATTTTTTAATTATATATTTATAGATCTATAAAACCCAAGGTAAGATCTATTTGTATATATTTATTTATTTACTTACTTATTTTTACATTAAAATTAACTTTTTATTATTTTTAAGATGCATCACCAACAAACAAACAGTGCGTGAAGATACACGTGAGGCAGTGCATCACACACATGGCTTATGACAGGCGGAGATCTCATTGCGATTGAACCCGGTCATTGCAATAGCAGTGCCAAGCACTTTACCGCTACACCATCTCGCTGCCCAATTAATATTTGTACTCAATTTTTATTGATACTGAAGTTAATTTTCATAATATTGCTACTGGTATATTGTTGTGAATGATTGTTTTTATTACTAATGAAGAATTTTTTGTTGTAGGTATGATGGTGACGCTGTTGGCAGTAGGGTTTGCATTTGAGGATAATTGCGTTACGAATTAAAATATTTGTTGATGTCGTTGAAATGTTCATCTCGTCCTTTTGTGGCTGTGTTGTAATTGTTTGTAGTTGTTGACGCTGTTGTGGCTGTTGTCGCAGTGCAGTAGCCGATGTTGTTACTGCAGCTGCTGATGTAGTAGTAGTAGTTGTGGTTTTTGATGTCGATAATGATGTAGTAGTTGGTGATTACGACGTTGTTGTTGTTGCCACAGTATTTGTTGTTGAAGTTGTCATAGCTGATGTTGATGTTAATGTGGCGGCTGTCGTGGCTGTTGCTGTTCAGAAGACTTGTGGAGGTCCTCCTGGCTCCTTGATTTGACGCTGAATATTGTAGATCGAATGCCATCTATGAGGGTGTGTCTCTGGTGAGCGGCTGATGACGACGAAGATGATGATGATGTTGTTGATGTTGATGATGATGCTGGTGTTGTTGATGTTGGGTGGAGAGGTGGCAGTTGCAGTTTTTTGCTGTCTGAAGAGAAGATTTTGTTCGCTTTTGAGGTTTTTCCGGGTTGCTGTTTGCTACTTGGGATGGTTCTGTGGAAAATTTTACATTGCGTCTTTTTGTCGATTCATTACAAGGCGAAACAAGTGAGAAATGTAAAATTGTTACCAATACTCTATTATTGCTATCATTGTAAAAAGTTGTATCCATTGAAAATAGTATCAGAAGTAGTATCAATCGACAACGTTCCGCGCATTCATATCACCAGCAACAGAACACGTCGAAACGAACTTGGTCCTGATGTATTTGAAAGATCCATGCTTCTTCCCGAAGATCCCACCACTCCCACCACTGGCCGACGAAGACGACGATGAAGACGACGACGAAGACGACGGGATAAGTAGGGATGTGCTTTTGGACGAGTGTGGCTGACTGTTGGTCTTCCTCAAAGACAAGTTGAAGGGTGACGAGGAGGTGAGGGGACTTGGGGCTTCGATGTCGTAATTCACGGAGGACCTGAGTCGCAATTTGTTTGTTTACGCTTTGCTTTTATATTATAATTTTACATGTAAAGTTTGTAAATATGTAAATTATTCTGTGTGTCCATGAATATGTTTTATTAACTTGGTTGAAATAAAATCTTTGCTGTCTGTCTCAACGTCACACGGAATTTTTCGTAATAGCAAGCTTTGCATCATGCTCACAAGCCGAAAGTTTGTTTTTGAGTTGAGCACGGCCAGCGTTCGAACCCGGTTAGTGCACTACATGGGGTAGATTCAAGAGAGTCAGCGTCATTTTGATTGATGTCTTATCTCTTATCGCTTTATTTTGTTATTTTATCATCATCAACATTATTGTTTTTGCTATTTCATCATCATTATCCTTGCTATTTTTATAATGATCGTTAACATCTACATCATCACCAGCATCATCATCGTCGTCATCGTCATCATCATCATGGTCAAAAACAAACTCACCCATCTTTATTCAACTCCTTCTGGTAAGCAATCGGGGACTGGAGAGCTGATGGGGTGAAATTTCAACTCACATTCATATCACAATTAATATTATTATTCTTTAATGTTATAATTAATAATAATAGTTAATAATATTAATATTATTATTTTTACCCCTTAAGAAATCTCCCTGCATATTGAGTAGTGATTCGATGACGGTGATCCAGGTGTTGTAGGAGGCCCTATTGAGGGCCCTGCAGACCACCTCCTCGTTACAGGTTGGCGATTTGTTTGTCAGGGTGAACATCAACGAAGATTCGTCATCCTCTTCATCGTCGTTTTCCTCCTCACCATCACCGTTCTTGTTGTTTGCTGTTGTTGTGAGGTTAAGAGTAGAGTTGTTGGTGTTGCTTGGTTGTTGGCTGCTTGGTGAAGTTGATTGTTGTTGTTGTAGCTGCTGCTGCTGGTGGCGGTGGTCGTTTACCTCTAACGCCATCTGATTAATCTGCGTGGGTAAGAGTTAAAGATTTTTGTAAAGTTTTTTTGTTTTTCATTCGACAAACGTTCAATTCTTAAAAATTCCTTTTATTCTAAATTTAATTTTTGTGCCACAGAGTCTGCAACATTCAGGTCAGACCACACAATACAGACCAGCATTTCCATGTACAGAGCAAAGTGATAATCATATAATATAATGACAATTAGAAAATAATAAAACCTTGATAGAGTTCTTGTAGATGTAGGACGCCATGTTCTTCTTCTTCTCCACAACTTCGCTGAAGATGATGATCTGCTCAAACAAGAATACCCTCCTCTCCCTCATCATCATCACTTTGCTGTCTTTCATCTCGCATACCTTCAGTCAATCATTCGTTTTTATTTTATACTTATCTATATAAGTATATCTTTCAATATTCCAATATTTTCTAGTAAACATATATATATATATATATATATATATATATATATATATATATATACACATATTAATTGAATATATACATACACACACACACACACACACACACACATATATATATATATATATATATAGTATATAATGCACATGATATGGGCAGAGCGTGATGGTGTAATGGATAAGGTGCCTGGCACAATTGTTGCAGTAAGCGAGTTCAATTGCTAGGTGATTCCCGCATATTATATGCAATGTGTAACTCAATGTCTCACACGTATTTGCATACTTTCACCTCATACGCCTTCAGTCAATCATTCATAATTTTATTTCGTTATAATTTTTTATACATGTTTATTCATTTAAATTTATACAGATCTGCAAAAATGTTTTAAAAATGTGTTTATAGTGAAGGAATATTCATTATATGTTGATTGCGCACTGCAATATATTCAGTGTTTTTCAATATTCCATTAGGTGTTATCAATTATCATTAATGATCCTATTTATGATAAATTAATATTATATTTATATAAATATTTATATAAGATTAATAATTGATGAAAACGAAATAATTTTTTTTTCATAGCTTCTCTGGCTTGGGATTTTTTAAAAAAGCGAGGACAATGAGAAAAGCATATAACGGTGATTAATTATCCTCTTGTATGGAAATTTTCTTCTGTATATAGTTACATAAAAAGCTTGCCTGACTTGATAATTAATCATAGTTAATTTGAAGAAATAAATCATGAACTAATTATCTTATTATGATTACATTTATAAGACAGAAAGGCGTTTATTTGTAAATTATATAGTAAATTAATAAATTATATATATGTGTATGTGTTTGTGTGTGTGTGTAAGTGTAACAATACTAGCTAATATTATAAGCAATATAATACTTGAAGTGTGTCTTGTAATAGGAGTTTTCCTTGAGCTGTCACTTTACCCTGTGAGCATAAACAGTCGAATTTAATTTATCATCTCCATACCATGTGAATGAATGAATGAATGAAAGAATGAAAGAATGAATGCATGAATGAATGAATGAATAAAATAATTCATCGGAACAAAAATTACGACACCAAATGCATTTAGGAAACTTCATTTTTATTGACAATTACGTTCAAATCGACAGGTAAAACTATGATATGACTTACATAACATCTACACCTTTTAAAGATCATTAATTACGACACCTAAAGATTGATGTGATAGGCAAAAATCACGATAAAGATATAAGATTAGCAGCGATATTGAAACAACTGCATGAATAAAAATTCATTCCTGAGGTAGATCAAACAATCAGAGTTTTGACGTCTGGGTTATTTTCGACGTACGAAGAATCACCATTACCATCGTATGTCTCAGTCCATTTTGTTTCATGGTTTACTTCAAACCTCAGCCCTTGCGATCCATATTCGTTTATGTTAAGTTTTTCCAACATCAAGAATAACAATAATTATATAAATAAAACCACAATATCATTAAAGATATAATATTAATGTAATTATATTATAATGTAAACTCTTTTATTACGGGAAACCAACGACATAAAGAGAAAAATGGATGAAGTTATTGTTGGAAATAATTAAATGCACAATGAGAGCCTAACTGCCCGTTGTTGTATATGACAGTGCAAATTGCCGGCATGCTTAAAACGTTATAAAGTGCTTCTGTCTCAGTAGATGGCGTATGTTGAGTTAATAGCAGGAATAATTAATTTATCGATCAAAGAATTCGGCCATAAGATTTTAAATGACATTAAATTAAAAATATTAAAAAAGCCAATTGGAGTAATTTCAAATGTATTTAAAATAGTTGAACAATTTTTAAAATCAGGGTTTAGACATGAAATTAAACTATTAATGTATTTCGATTGTTTAAAGTTTCTAGAATGAATCAAATTTGTCTCGTGACATACTGCCAACTCTACGACCTCAATTCTTCTGACTCGTAAGATGGCGATGCCTGGACGAAGATTGACGAACAGTTGTGACATTGGTCGAACTTCTTCCTTTTCTATATCTGCGAATATCAGGCGACCCGTGGTACGGCGTGACAACAAACAGTTAACGATTTCGGTCAATATCCTGTCATGCCATTCTCTATATCGTTCCAACGCAACTACGGATCCACGCAGTTGAACGTCACATGTTTGTTCGTCTGTTTAGAGCCACAGAAAGAACATAGGGGATCAGTGTCTTACTCCATCTGAATAGATTGGCTTTGGTCGACAACTGCTGAATTAAATATTTTCTGGCGAGTTTGTATAAGGTATCTGGTAGTGAATCTAGTTTTTTTTTTACCAGTGTGTTATTTGCGAAGGTGATATTACATTTGTTACCGACTCGATCAGGAAAGCTTGATTTTGAAGCGAGACAACGGGGTTAAGGCTGGCAGCTATTCGACCACTTTCCAACTTTTTTAGTGTCTGAGATGTTGAGCTTGAATCAGAAAGCATATTGTCCACCGTCTTGTAGTCCACCGATGCTTCACGACAATGACAGCGAATTTCATCATTTGAATTTGTCTTGAAGTAATTGCAGAGTTTAATTATCATTTGCAACTCTGTGGCTTTGAGAGAAACAATGCTATGACAACCGATATTTAACGTTAGGCCCAGTATCTCAGACACACAGCATCTAATGGTATTGATCGCCAATTTCTAGCTGCTTCAACAACCAGGTTGTCCAAATTAATAATAATAACAATAATAATAACTACTGCTACGATTACTAACATCAAACCCTTGGAGTCTGCCAACATTCATCATATCGTCTGCCGCCTTTGGTACCACGTGCATGACCTTCAGGGCCTTCTCAAGGTCAGTCGTATTCAAGTGGGCTCGTTCAGTGTACTTCAATATGTCCTAGTGATAATAATTCTGAATTAATTATGTTAATTTGTTCTATAAATATTCACGCAATATCTCATTATATTGTGATGAAATCAGCAACAAAAATTAATTAACCAAACACTGGCTCGGACCTGACTAACAACGCAATAAAAATTTCTTAAATATTACTGGCGTGTGAAAGGAAGCAGGACCCACAGCCAACCAATAAAATTCAATAATCTTAGTCAGATAAGTCCAATCACATACTTATCTGTACGTGATTGGACGTGGTCATTTGTTTAAAAGTCAGATAAGTATGTGATTGGACACTGGCAACAATTTTATTGGTCAAAAAAATGCCCATAACAATTTCAAAATATGTTATTTTTTAAAGTCGTATTGAAAGTTTTTTAAACTTCAACAACTTTATTCTTAAAGTTATATAAATAAAATGCATTTATTCATTTATCCGTCAATCCATTCATCAATCCATTCATCCATCCATCCGTTCATTCATTCATTCAATCATTCATTACTTTAAGTAGCAGTTGGTACTTCATAATGCGCTGAACAGGCTTGATGAGCAGGTCGGCCAGCTGCAATCGGTGTCCAAGCTTCTGTCTCATGTCCTTCGTGTTATTATTATAGGTTAAAGAGGTTAAAGTTAAAGGTCTCGTGCACTTGCTTCGGAGGTTTCAACGACAAACACACACATTGTGGAGGGCGGATGCTTATTTCATTTCGGATAATGCTAATTGGCACAATTTCATCTCTCGTTGGCTTACTTAGGAGATAGAGATCGAAGCGAGGTTTATAATTGATAAAAGTAATTCTACTTCATTTAATAATAGTGATTTCAAAATTGAGTAAGGGTTGAAAGGCGTCAGATCCTACTGCTGCAGTGTCCGTGTTGGTGGTGTTTGTGGTGCGCGGTGTGTGTGTTTATTTGTTTGTTTTTATGTGTGTTTGTTTGTTTGTGTGTGTTTGTTTGTGTGTGTGTGTTTGTATGTTTGTGTGTGTTTGTTTGTTTGTGTTTGTTTGTTTGTGTTTGAGTTTGTTTGTGTGTGCGTGTGTGTTGTTCCTCTAATTATTTCATTAACGTTAACAATGAATGACTATGATGACTTACGAATGATGACGAACTACTTCGGAGTTATGAATTAAAAATATCAAATTATTTTAAAACAGTAAACTGCGAATGACAAATCACTTTAAAATTAAATCACAATTAATTTGTATTTACGTATTAATTTAATTAATAATAATTTAATTATCAAGTTAGGAATAAATATATGAAGTAAAAAATTACTAATAATGGCAAATTACTTCAAAATAATCAGTATTTTCGGCGACTACATATTCTGATTTAGGCTTGTTCTCGCAATATTTCACGTACATGTACAACCTTCTTTCCTAAAAATTGAAAAAAAAATGTATGCATCATTTAATTTGATTACTAATAAAATGTATTTTTCGTATTTAAATATTTAACCTGAATATGTAATTACGATAATAATTCAATATATTATCAAATTTAAAATTTATTATTATTATTATTATCATAGTTGTTATTAATCAATATTATCGTTATTGTTATTGTTATCATTATCACCGTATCATAGTGTCCCATCGTCACCATTACCATTATTTTATTATTATTATTATTACTATTCTATTATTATTATTATTATTACTATTTTAATATTATTATTATTATTATTCTGTTATTATTATTATAAAATTATTCGCTAAAGTTAATAAGGCAGAAATCTAACGTATCTTGTGAAGACACTGCCAACTTTTTCCTCATCCTCCAAGCATTTTTCTATCTCCTGCTGGAAAGTCCTGGAAAGAATTCCAAATTTATTATTATTATTATTGTTATTATTATTATTGTTATTATTATTTTTTTTTTATTATTCTTATTTCTTTTTTCATCATTTTATCTGTTTTACCATATTTGTTAATGCCATTTGGTATTTTATTTGGCTCATAGCATCATCACCGTCTTTAGTATTTATCATCGCCGTCGTCTTCATCCTCGTCATCGTCGTCTTCATCATCGTCATCATCGTCTTCATCATCGTCATCGTCGTCTTCATCATCGTCATCATCGTCTTCATCCTCGTCATCATCGTCTTCATCATCGTCATCGTCGTCTTCATCATCGTCATCATCGTCTTCATCATCTTACTCTTTGTGCCAATCATATATTTGATGGATGTTTCCAAACACGATCTTGTCCTTCCCTTGGAGTGATGATGGTAAGGATGTTGGATCAGCTGACTGAATGGTGGCTATGTAACCCTGGTGAAAGAGTGAGTGAGTGAGTGAGTGAGTGAGTGAGTGAGTGAGTGAGTGAGTGAGTGAGTGAGTGAGTGAGTGAGTGAGTGAGTGAGTGAGTGAGTGAGTGAGTGAGTGAGTGAGTGAGTGAGTGAGTGAGAAAATGAATGAGTCATCGTTATCGTTTTCATCATCATATTTTCGTCGGTATTATTATAATTATTGTTATTTCACCATCATCGTTATCATCATTAACTAAAACGGCATCATTTCATCCATCACCACAAAAACAAAAAATCATCATCATCACAGCATCATCATTCTCATCCTCATCATCATCATCATCACCATCATCATCAAAACCTCGACGACAGATCCCAAATCTTTAACATAGTCCTTTTCCGTCTCAACTAACTCCATTATGACGAATCTAATATTTAATGGAAACACTTTTTATTATTGAACCTCAAAAATCTAAAATCAAATTTCATAAATATATAAATGATTATAGTCATCAATGCTCGTCATTCACATCTGAGTACAAGGATGATAAAAAATGATACAAAAAATTGTTCACGTTTTGTTCCTTTCACAGTATATTGCATACGTTGAACTAATTGCACAATTTGTTAGGTTATCTTTAAAAATGTCCGGCCAAGTTAAATCGATTAATGACAGTTTAAAAGGATTGTAGAAACCTATAGGACTAATCTCAAAAGTTTTAATTAAAACATTGAAATAATAATAATAATAATAACAATAATAATAGTGATAATAACAATAATTTCAATTGCTGTTGTTGTTATTATTATTTGTAATACTAATTAAAGTTTACAAATTTACTTTACACCTTCTTTTTTCAAGAATTTTTTTTACTCCATCATCATTTTGTTGCTGTTGGTTGTTGTCAGGGTTGTTATCATTTTCTGTTTCATTTGTTGTTGCTGTTGTTGTTGTTGTTGTTGTTGCGGTTGTGGTTGTTGTTATTGCTGTTGTAGATGCTGCGGTTTGAGATGAGGTTTCCATCGTTGCTGCTACTACTGCTGCTACTGATGATATTTCTGCCGTTGTTGTTGCTGCTGCTGCAGCTGCTAAACCAACATCAACGCCATTGTTGTTGTTATCACGCGATGTTGATGATGATGATGATGATGGCGATGATGAAAATTTAGTCATAACTACTTCGTCGGCAATGTACTCTGTGGGCATCATGTTGTTGTGGGCGTCTGACGGTGATGATGGTGGTGGTGATGACGATGAGAGTAATGGTGATGACAAATATAATCAATGATTATAAAAATGATGATGATCGCTAGCGTACCGATGGAGGTGGGGAGCGGACCGCCCCGAGCCTTCAACTAAAAGCGGGCATCCGAACAGCCGATATACACAAATTTTAAAATAAATAATTTCCTTAATAATTTGAGGGATAAAATTTTGTGCCTTTATTTTTTATTTAAATATTTATTCATACATAATATGTTTATATATAATGTTATATAGCAATACATTCAAAAACAACAATAACAACGACATAACCCCATAATACAGAAATCATATGTTAATGGCACAAAAAATACACGAAGTAGTCCTCAAACAAATCATAAAAAAAAACTTTACAGCAATCAATTGCAAATTGTTGTAACACGTTGCAAATAAATGATTTCAAATAATAAAATAAAACTCAAGATATACTAAAGAAATTGTAAGACATCACAATTGGTCTTAAAGAACAACTGCACTCCTAAAGACGATTCTACTTTGAAGCGTAATCATGTAATATATGAATTCAAATGTTTTATTGAAGACTGTGCGCGTCAACAACATTCGTATATTGATGTTACGATCACATTTGAATAACAACAGTTTGGATACATTTTCGTGATGAACTTGGATAATAATTTTATTTTCAATAAATTGAACAATTTTCAGAAAATTCTAGTAAGAAAAATTGAAAAGACAAACTTTAAATTGATTAATGCCAACAATTCGGTAGAATTCATACATAACTGTATAAAATATGGTCTCCTTCCACCGTGTGTGTATATATATATATATACACACGGTGGAAGGAGACCATATTTTATACAGTTATATATATATATATATATATATATATATATATATATATATATATATATATATATATATAATCTAAGACAGTCTTAACTCTAACTCTAATTATACGAAGGAGGGCCTCTCAAATGTTTTCGCACCGGCCTCAATAGCCCTAGGGACGCCACTGATGATGATGATGATAATGATGATGATGTTTTTGTCTAGTTACCTGCATTTACAATTTCCTCATCATTCAAACTTTTTTGGCCACCATCATCTTTATTACGACTCCGCTCATACTCCTCCCCAATTTTGATTGATTGACAAGTCACGTGAGGTTCGTTTTGATTCTCCCTTGATGTTTCATTGTTGTTAACAATTGGTTCTGCTGCTGCTGTTGTTGGTGGTGGTGACAATTCTGTCGCTGCAGCTGCTTTGGCTGCTGTCGTAGCTGCTGACATGATTTATGTTGCGTGATTGTTGTGTTGCGTTTCTAATGTGGAAACCAATGTTGTCGTTGATGTTGTTGATGTCGTTGGTGATGTTGTTGTTGTTTTTGATGTTGTTGTTGATGTTTTTCTGAATTCTACAAATTTTGTAGTAGCTGACGATGAAGGTGACAAGAATATTGCGGTTGTTGATGATGGCGATGATGTTGCAATTGTCACCGTTGACGATAATGAAGGTGTTGTTTATGAAATCGTTGTTGTTGTTGTTGTTGTTGCTGCTGCTGCTGATAATGATGGTGATATTGTTGATGTTGCCAGAGTTTTGTTATTTTCTAAACACAAAGAATGTATCTGAATAAGAAGAAAAATTGGGAGCAGGTTAAGAGACTAAACATTGGGGATAACAACACATGCACTTGCATAAACAAACACACAAAAACACACACACACGCACACATACACACACAAACACATACACACACACACACACATATATATATATATATATATATGGCAACATTATCATCTTCTTCATCAATGTCATTATCTTAATCATATATCATCATCACCATCCCAATCATTATCATTAATGTTCATCAATGTCATCATCTTTATAATTAGCATTGTTTAACGAATTATAAGCTTCTGCTGAATAGTTAATTTGAGGTATTGTTGGTATTTTATATACGTGTGTGCATGTTTGTGTATATGTATATACACGCACGTACGCTCACAAACACACACACGCACATTTTTTTATATTTAAATTTCAATTATGCATGTAATATATTATATCGATTTTATTACTCATTCACAAATTTGATGATATATTTAAAACATTGTGATATATATATATATATATATATATATATGTGTGTGTGTGTGTGTGTGTGTGTGTGTGTGTGTGTGTGTGTGTGTGTGTGTGTGAGTTTGTGAGAGTGATTGTGAATGTTTGCATGACGTACGTGTGTGTATGTGTATCTGAAGTGTGTGCATTCATGTGTATGTATGTGTGTGTTTGTGTCTGTGTCTCATTAATTCTTTTGAGATCCTAATCAACGTTTGGCAAGTAATTCTTTAGAAGATAGATACACTACGTTTCTATTAATAATTTTTTTATTTTATATCATATAAACATTTTGTTATATATATATATATATATATATATATATATATATATATATATATTTCTTAATCTTAACCACACACCCATTCATATATTTAAATATGAATGGGTGGATATGTGGGTGTGTGTTGTGAGTGTGTGTGTGGTGGTGCGAGTGCGTCATTGTCTGTCCGCTCTTATTTTGATTATTTGACAACTTCATAAGTATTATCTGAATGTATTCCATTCTAGTTAACATTTTTATAAAATTTTGATATAGTATTTGAATGCATTTGATTGAACACTGAAATGGATTTTCTTAATTTCTAACTTTTGAACTTTTATGTTTATTTATGACTCAGTTAAGGGTGGTTTCTCCAAAAGTTTATTTTAAACTTATTTGGTCCTTTACAATGAAAAAAAAAGTAAATAAATATTTATATTTATATATATATATATTGCAGTTGCGTGTGTCTGTGTGTGTGCGTGCGTGCATAATTACCAATACAATTAACTAGTTAATTACTTAATTAACATTCTTTATATTATTGCCTAGATTACAAATGATTGCATGATACCTACCTAATTATAATTATCAATCAATCAATCAATCAATCAATCAACCAGCCAACCAACCAATCAATCAATGTTAACAAAAACTGAGTAAAAGAAATGGCCGGCGTGTACTTTGTACTGTCGAGTGGAATTGAAGAGTTAAATATTACGTGCGTGAATGTGAATTGATTTCAAGATTTGAAACGATAATAAATAGTAGTAATCATAATACTACTACTAGTACTACTACTACTACTACTACTACTACTTCTACTACTATTACTACTAATAATAATAATAATTATTATTATTATATAATAATAATAATAATAATAATAATAATAGTAGTAATAATAACAATATTAATAATGACATATGTTCAATTATTGTCAGACATTACTCAGGCTTAATAATGATGTCTACATCAGAAGGTTTGAAGATAAATGAATGCTTTATAAGTATTGGTAGTTGAACGTTTTTAAAATTGCTACACGTTTGACGTCAGAGATGGTCACGAATTAAACAGCTAGCTCAGATTGTAAAAGTGTCGTGTCTCGTGTTGTCATTCCACGCTGACCGGGTTCAAATGCTGACTGAGCAGCACCCGTAGACCCTTGGCCGTGGATAGTAGATCAGTTTCGTGCGCAAGATGCACTGTTTGAGTGCACATACAAATGCGTCTGTTCATCGTTTGGTGTAGGTGGATGTTACAGTTTTTGCGAAACAAAAGTTCAATTCGAAACTAAATAGACGTAAACAAGATCTTTAACCTGATCTGCCATTTTCAAAAGCAGAAAAAGAAAGAACAAAAAAATTTACTTGTATTCCAACCGCCGATGATGCCGTTGTTGGCGTTACTACGACGGTAAAGCTGATGTCGCTGCTGTTGATGATGATGTGGCAGAGGCAGTAGACTCGCAGGGAAGCAATGAAGCTGTAACCACAGCAACAGTGGTAATGTTATAAGAAGTAGTATTAGTATTATTAGCTGTTGTAAAACTTGTTGCAGTATTATTATTAGATGCAACTGTTTTTATTGCTGTGGCTGATGCAGCTATGTTGACGCTGCTGCTGCTACTGCTGTTGACGACGACGACGATGAAGTGTGAATATTAGATGGTGGGTTGTCAAGGCAGGGATATTCGACGTTATAACGCTACTCGTATTGCTAGTTACTAACTTGTGTAATCTCAATGATTTGCTTGCTCGAGATATCCTTGGTAATAATATCGACTGAGGTTGTAGTATTTGAAGTAATTAACGTATCATGCCGTTTGTTTGCTGTTGTAACGGTTTAGGCTGCTGATGGTTTTGATGTTGTTGCTGATGTTGTTGTTATTGTCGGTGAAGTTGTTCTTGTTAATGTTGTTGTTGTTGGTGTAGATGTATTCCTTGAGTTCTGTGAATTTTTTTCGAACCTTCCCTGACTAATTTTCCGCTTAGGTGTGGTCAGCCATTTACTGAAGTTTACAAAAAAAAATTAAAATTATTATTATATAATTCAGTTAAAAATCTTTCCGAAAATTCAAAAAAGATAATAATAAAAAGAACCCAAGAAATTGATTAGCTAAAGAGAAAATTGTTTTTTCGTTATCGGTTCAACGACGTTCAAACGTTTGTAACACTGCATCATCAATCATTTGCTTCTATAGATTCACAGGGTTGTGTTTCATCTCACTGTTCTTATCAAATCTTCAACTTCAAAATCTTCTTATCAAATTCTTCCAAGTAAAGTCAGACATCAAATATAAACAAATCATTAAGATATATATATATATATATATATATATATATATATATATATACTACTGTATAACTTGTTGCAGTATTATTAAAATATATACTCATATAGGAATTTTTATAAACATGCATGCACGTGTATATTCATAAATTTGTATAAAAAGAAATGCGCTTATATATGCGCTTGCATACATAATATAATACAATATAACCTTTTATTCGCTATACATGTGCTATAAGTTTATATACATACATAAGCTATACGTTTATACACACGTGTAAAAAGTCATATACATACATACAAACAAACACAAACAGATCTACATACATTCGTACATGCATACATACAAACATACATATAATAGAAATCAACTTTGATGCCTGCAGACTCATCTGCAGCATATATAAATATGACATTTTTATTATACAACATACAAAAACATACATGTATGTATATATATATATACGTATACATAAATATAACATGTATTTATCTGCATTAGTTCTTATGAGCTAATTAATAATTTCATGAATATGCAAAAGCTTACTTGAATATGATTATGCATATATATATGTATATATATGCATAATCATAAATTTACCAGCATTTATATATATATATTATATATATAAATGCTGGTAAAAGACACACTATAAATTACTGCATAATTAATGCAGTAATTTATGAAATCTACCGGTTGGTTGGTTGGATTTATAAAATATTTACAACCAACATACAACCAACTGAAGAAACTTTAAAAGCAAAATCCAACGCTAGAAATTCGGTAGATTTCATAAATCTACCCCATCTTATACATATTTATTTTGGAAGGAGACCATATTTTATACAGTATGAATGAATTCTACTACCCAATTGTTGGCATTAATCAATTTAAAGTTTGTCTTTTTAAATATTAGTTTTTTAGTAAGGAAATTTAAAATTCTAGTAAGAAACATTAAAAAGATTAACTTTAAATGGTTTAATGTCAACAATTCAGTAGTATTCTTACAATACTATATATACTTATATATATATATATATATAGAGAGAGAGAGAGAGAAAGAGAGAGAGAGAGAGAAAGAGAGAGAGAGGGAAAGAGAGAGGAGAGAGAGACACATTTGTATGAACCACGTTCAGAGTCTTTGATATAATGTTAAAACAAAGATAAAATCACCTAATTGTTATTATTTGTGTGTCTAGCTTTACATAGTTTATATTATATTTTAGGTATATATAATATATATATACATATAAATATATATATATATATATATATATATATATATTATATAAAAAAATAATTATCGTTGTAATAATTAACGGTTGGGACGAAAGTTTCGCTTACAAATTATCTGTGTAATTATTATCAATGTATCAATTGTTGTCAATTGATACATTGATTGATATCTATCAATCAATACTCTTTATTAACTTGTTTCAATATTAATATTGATAATTTATATTACTTTTCTTCTTATTATTATTGTTGTTGTTCTTGTTGTTTATATGCTTTTGGTGTTATTATTGTTTGTGGACGTTATTTCTTGTGCCATCGTGGCGTCATCATCGTTGTACAAATATCATCACAAAATATCATGCCATCTATCAAATCATCAGATTACATATCATGTGTTATTATTTGATATCAATGCCTGCTGTTGTTTTCGACTGGCATCATCATTATTCCACTCATACGAAATATCTCCTCACTCCATCTTTTCATCACCACCATTGTTAGTATGATGTAGTAATTAGTCTGCAACACTTGGAACAATATAAATAGTGTAGATAATTTGAAACTATGCCAGTAGTAGTACTAGTTGTAGTAGCAGCGGTAGTAGTAGTAGTAGTAGTAGAAGTAGTAGTAACAGCATTAGTACTTACTGCCAGTAGCAGCTGTTGCAGTAGTGGCTGTAGTAATAGTAAGTGCAATGACAGCAGCACTGGCAATAGTAGTAGTAGTTGTAGTAGTAGTAGTAGTAGTAGTAGTAGCAGTAGTAGTAGTAGTAGCAGCAGTAGTAGTAGTTGTTGTAGCAGTGGTCATAGTGGTAGTAACTAGTAAGTAGTCTGCATCTGAATGGAACCCAGAGAAAATGCTGTAATAGCGGTTCCATCGTGTTAAATAGCCTATAAAGAAAATAGTGATAGTAATAATAATAATTATTTATTGTTGTTATAATATTATAATAATAATATTATCTTTTTTTTTAATTGGACGAGTTAAAACAAAGATTAGAATGGTATATAGACAGATGCCATTATAATGACAGATCCCTCTCAATACATCAGCTCACACACTTAAAAGGTCTGTGAACGTAATTGATAGTAAAGATTTGTTGATGTTGTTGTTATTATTATTGTTAGTATTGTTGTTGCTTGTTATTGTTATTTTTTGTTGATGTCTTATAAATCACATACCTATATGTAAATGTATATATCGATGTGTGTGTGTTTTTGTGTGTGTGTGTTTGTGCGTGTTTGTGTGTAATAAATTAACAAAAAAAAATTTATATTGAAGAGTCATTCGAGTATATGTTTGATTAAAACTTATTTGGTAGGTTCAAGTTTACATTAGGTTGAAAATTTTTCAACAAAAATCATCAAGTTGAAAAAATTTGACAAAATTATTCAATAATGTAAAAAGTTTCTGTCAGATAAAAAAATGTACAACATAAAGAAAGTGTCTAAAAATGAAAATTCAACATATCTGGAAACTATATGGAACCATAAGTAATGACACCCTTACTTCAAAAACAAAAATTGAAATAAAAAACTCAACAACAAAAATTGATTTGTAAAAATTCGTATATAAACTTGTTGACGGTTTGAATTCATTTGAGTCATGGCCACAATTTAAAATGCGAAACGGACTTCACGTTTTTAACACACACTTTTGAGATGGTCCATTGGAATGCTTAGTATAATTATGTTTTAATGCTTATCTATGTGATAATAATCAGAAAAACAACCAGAAGTTTCTTTATGAATTTATGTAAAAAATATCTTTCCATTAACCAAATTATTTGAAATAAACAAAATCGTGTATTTGAAATCAATTAAATTATGTTATCTATGGATGTTTATACCGAAATATAGATTTTCTAGAGTTGTCTTCAGTGCTTGTTGTTTGGTTGATTGATTGTTCAGTAAAACTGTCTGCTTCAACTTTTATTTCTCATTTGATACTGATTTAATTGGTTTATTTCAGTAAAATAAGAAATCAAACCACATCTAGCGTACTACACTCTAATAAACTGACAGAATTGTCGGAGTAAAATAAAGACCGCATTACGTCCAAACTTAGTTGAACAGGTTGCGCAGACCGAGATGCTCACACATGTTTTTAGACACATATGAACAACTTGTGGATGCATACCCCATATGGGCCACATGTGACAATGTCTACAGGTCACACGTGGCAATACCTGCAAGACACCTGTGGCAATACCTGAAAGCCACACGTGGTTTGCTAGTATCGCATTAATTCGCCAATCGGCCCATTATCTCATGTACGATTTTGACAACCCATATAAGCTCAGGATGTTTGTACTACAATCTTAAGGGAAGGATTAGGTTAGAAGATTCGCGTTTTAAATTGTAACGTGCTGTTGGACAATGGTGCGATTTTCATGTGCAAATAGTTTAATTCGCAGTAAATAAATTTGCTTAAATATGAAATTTTTTAATGAGAATAAATTTAATTAAAAAATGAAAAATTGCCTGCCTGCATTAGTTTTATTGTGGCGAGATGAGGAAATGTTCACGATCAGCCGACATTTCGTAGCCACCTTCTAATCTCAATACCATCCACCTGTCGTTGGAAATTGAACGCGGATTGAAAATTTTTCATTGGAAAAATGTGGCTTACGCTGCATATAGTTGTACAAGTTCAGTCATTTGTTTTATTGTTTCAAAAAATTGTGTTCCAGTTACGTTTCCAGGAATGACAAAGAAGAATGCATGGATGAGAAATGCATTTCTTAACGTTATCAATATATCTTATGACGACACCGTACACAGTAAAGCAAAAAACATTGTAACACATTTCGTTCGTAATGTTATGTTTGAATAGACAATATTTTTTTCATATCTAGCAGCAGCGAAGAGTGACCAAGTAACATTGTATCAACTAATTTTAAATATTCAATTAATTAATAATTTAATGGGCAAACCAGATATAAATTCTAAAAACAAAACAAAACCGACAAAGTATGACATAACCTGTCTAAGATGACGCGGTTTTGTAATCAGATATTGTTAATAACAGACTACCACCAGCCATCCTCCATTCAGATGTTATTTATTTATTTAATTACAATTAACATAATCACGTCCATTAATAAAAAATTTATAATTTCATTACATTTTAATAAAACAGTATTAATATCTCGATACCATTTTTATGGATTCAAAATTTTGTCAAATTAAAATAAACCAACACACAAGACACCCTTCAATGTTTCATAACATATGAATATTTGTTTTTAATGAATATATAGACATTTATAATAGAAACACACACACACACATATACATATATACATATGTTTGTATATATATATATATATATATATATTCATACCATATATATATATATATATATATATATATAAGCTATGAATGTATGAGCATCCCATACAATATTGATGAAATAGACAGCAACGCAGCAACCTGCTTTGGGAAGGTTTCTTCTAACGAACAAACTTTCTATTAAATAATGAATTATTTTCAATTTTGCATACATAAACTTTGTTAAATTAATAATTTTATTCAATTGTGTTAATTAAAAACTATTGATTTGTATTAAGCGGTGAAGAATGTAACAAAGGACAAAAAGAATGTTAAATTTTTTATGGTTAGTTAGATTTCTTTCCATCAACAACACGTTGTTCATTATCGCTACCACCTTTCGCCCTGCCTGCTCTGATTGTGATAATCCCCGTTTCAATTCGGCATTGTTTTCTCGAGAATAAAGATGGTTGAGCAATCGGAATTGTCGCTTGAGGAAAAGAAAATTATTCGACAGATCGAGGTTAATTTTTATTATTTAAAACTAAACTTTTGCTCTTTTAATTTACTTTTTAATTCTATAATTTAAAAGTTTATTATAAATAAATATTTATGGTTAGGATTTGCCGATTCGGATTGGAATTCGAATGCAGATTAATTAATTTTGTATAACAATTACATAATCAATGTCATAATTACGCTATCACAGTATTATTTTGGGGATTCAAATCTGGCCAGAGACAAGTTTCTTCTTGAACAAATCAAACTTGATGATGGATGTTAGTAATTTTTTTTATTTAAAGAACTCTCAAATCAAATTATTTGGTGGCCCACCTCATGCCACATGTGTGGTCTGGCCGTACGTTTTTATTTGACTTTTTTATCGATCAAAGTAACTAAAAAAAGATTTAAATAAAGTTGACCTTATCTTATCTTATACATATGGTTGGCACATGGCACACACATGCACAGTATGCTTGAAAGTATGGTCTGAGGTGTTAACAGAGGTATCAGATGTTTTAGTAACAAAACAGATATATAAAAGTGCTATCAAAGTTGTTGTATTGTGTAAAATTAAAACGAGTTTTTTATCAGTGTGGTAGAGGTAAATAAAAATATTCAGAAAGATATTATGCGACATGCCATTTTTTGTTCATGATCCTTTGATATATTCAAGCCTAATTGAATTATGTTCAGTGGCAAGCGAGTAACAAGCTTCTCAAACATTAGGCAGAAGCCAGGTCATTCTATAATCTATAGAATATTGAATTAGCATTTCTCTATGGTTCAGTAAAATTACTGATATATAGATATTTTAAATAATGTGCACTAAATTGGGCAAACACACACACACACATTCAGGGGTGTCGATGGAAACCTTGCTGAAGTTCAATCGTCTGAAGCAGATCACTGAGGACCCAGCAGTCGTTGTGGATGCATTGAAAAAATCCACAGCTGGTTTGATCGAAGTAAATTGCTAAATCATATATTTTTAGTTATTTTTTGATTACTTTTGTCTTTTTGTTCATTTTCAAATTTTTAAAAAAGTATCATAACCCAATTTGACTAAATAAATTTTACTACATTATTGTTTGCTACCAACATGTAGATAAGTGAAGATAAATTAAAAATAAGAAGAGATCCGAGCAAGCCACTGCCTACCTCAACTAAAGATTCAGCAGAAGAATCTAAACAAAGAACCATATATGCTGTCAGTAATTCAGTAATTGCTAATCGTCTTCAACTTTTTTATTGAGTTAAAACCTTTTCAAAGTTGTTATTAATTGTCAATTTTAAACAACACTTTAACACATAATAATTTCAAAGAATTAAATGTTAAATTGTTGGTTCATTTAAAATAAATATTCTAGAAAGGTTTTCCATTAGACGCGAAGTTGGATGATTTAATGGAATTCTTTGAGAAGTTTGGCCAAGTAGAGCACGTCTGTATGAGAAGAGATTTTAAAAAAAGTTTTAAGGTACTTCAGCTTTCAATTGACATTTTGCTGATTGTCATTATTTTTGCCAATTTTATTTTTACCATTGCCATTTTAGGTTATCATTGCCACTATTCTTTCACTTTTAATGGTTATTTTTTATACAACTAAGCCAAACATTATTTGTTATCAAACATGTCCTATACTTTTTCCACCCAAGTTTTGCTTTTTTTAACATGTAAATCATCACCAGTATTATTATGGTAAATTACGTTTTTTAATTGTTAAACTCCTGCGAAAAAAACCCATCATCTACGACATTGGACATTTTGAACTTTTATTTCACCTTGTCCTCCTCTTTTAAAAGGGTTCCTGCTTTGTGACCTACAAAACTAAAGAAGACGCTGACAACTTCATAAAATCAGAAAATACCAAATATTCAGATGATGTCGAGATGATTAAACATTATAAGTAGGAATTTTTTTATCACCATCAACTGACTTAGTGGTAGGCAAACATGTGTGAGGGCCACATTGAGAACTATTTTACGTTTCGTTTTTTGTTTTGGTTTGGTGACGACCTTTTTTTTGGCGAACAAGACCCTCACGGCCACCATAGTTTGCCCACCCCTGAACTAACTATATCATCATCGACATGGTTGCCTATCATCATTTTCACTTTCATCATCATTTGCTAACCATCACCCTTTATCACCATTTACTAATCACCATCATCGTCTTCATCATCATCATCATTTTCTTCATCATTTTCGTAACTGTAACTAACATTATTGCTTTTAATTTGACCCATTATTTTGACATTATATAAATGTCAAATTAAATTACACTTTATATTTCTACTACTCATCGATTAGATCCCATTCACTTTATGAGTTTACTATTTTCAATAATTTTCTTTATATATATATATATAAATATGTTTTTTTCATAGACAAGAATATTATGACAAGAAAATGAAAGAGAGGAAAGACAAATCTGAAAAGTTAGACATTTAACATTAGTAGTGCATAGTTATTATATTTTTAATTCAAAGTTAATATTAGTTTTTTGTATTTTATGTACATTCTAAAATGTTTTTTGTGACTTTAATCGTTATGGGATAATTTCTATTCCTTCAGGCAAAAAGAAGAGAAGGAGCAGTCTGAAATAAATGTTGGTGATCAACTTTTTAAAGTTATTTTTTCTATTTCTTTAATTGTTTCGAGTTGTTGTTATTTTCATTATTGGCTGTGTTGTTATTAATTTTTAAATTCATCTTTTGAATCTAATGAAATAGCAAGCAAATCATATTCTACTTTTTAGGCGATCAAAGATAAGATGGTGTTTGGAGCAGTGCTGAAGGTGGCGAACCTGCCATCTGGCTTGAGAATTGATCAAGTGAAGGAACATTTTGAAAAGTTTGGTAAAGTTATCTGGGTGGATGTTGACGAGAAAGAAAATATAGTTAGTGTTACTCATTCTTTTACTGCTGTTTGGCGCTCACTGTGAATGTTTTGTTTAGTTTTCCTGGCATGAACATATTTTGGAATGTTGTTAATAGTTGTTTTAGAATCTCTTTTATGACTTATGGTCAGTTTTAAACACTTTCTGTTCAAGTTATTTATTCTTTCTATGTTATCTTTATGTTTTAATTTTTTTTTCAATTTTTATTACCAGGCCAAATTGCGTTTCTCTCAAACTGACGAAGCCAAGACTACACTGGAGAAGTTAGAGAATGAAAAAAAGGATGGCAAGATTTTATTTAATGAGCAAGAAATAACCTGTCAGGTTCTGGAAGGTACGTTGTTTTTTTAACGCTATTTATCCCATTGTTTAGCTGCAATTTATCTAAATTTGTTCAATACACATAGAAATATCCTCACTGGTCTTGTATTTTGACTGCCTAAATGAAATTGTTTGTAATTTGAAGGCGAAGAAGAGGTTGAGCACTGGAAGGATATCTTCAAATCGAAAGCCACTCGCTCTGCCGTTAAGAAGAGCAAACGAGCAAATGACCGAAACAAGAGAAAGGGTGGGAAAGCTGGTCCTAAGGTCCTCACCTAATTTAGATTCTTGCTTTAACTATTTAGCACCTACATTAACACGATTTGTATTATATTGCACTGTTGGTCATATTTTCAGTGATTTTACTTTTCTATCACATTACATTAGTAGTTAAGCTTAGTCTCTTTAATATCTTTGGCTGTTTATTATTTTTTTCCTAGTTAAGTTTTGTCTATTTTGTTTCAGGCTAAAAAAGCAAAACAGGAATCAGAAGATGGAGCTGATGGCACTGGAAATACAAGCGATTAAAAAGTCGTCCTTGTTACTTATATTATTCAGACCGATGAAATGAATATCTTTGATTATATTTTTCTCTTTCTTTTTACCATGAACAGTTTTCTATTTTGTTATTGATTATCGTGCAGTCCAATAAAGTTAGGTCTATATTTTGGAGTTTGGTTGCGTTCCGTGAATATATATTTCGTGTAAAATTCGTTGGAGTTTCGCCTCGCTAAATTCCATTAAAATATCCATCCAAAATTAATTTGAAGTGAAAAATATCCATCCAAAATTAATTTGAAGTGATGTTAATAATAACAAAACGCGTCCTAGATCTAGGCATGTTGAAATTTGATGTGTAAGTTTACTTTTTCAGTTTAATTTCGATATTTCTTTTAAAAATATTTAAATTTTCCCTAATTTTTAAAAATCGAAACGTTTGTAATTTATTAATAATTAATTATAGAAAGACTGAATTGAATTTATTTCATCATTAGATTCGGTTTTTAGTAAATTTCTAAACATATGCAAAAGCAAGACAAAAACGTCCTGTGGCGATTTAATTTCTTAATTAAATAAAAATAAATAGAACGAATTATTTATAAGATAAAATTACTGAATCATTAAAACACAAATAAGTTTAAAAAATTCATCAAGCGGAAATCAAGAACGGTAACGCCACTTGGTTAGTAAGACTTGCCTCTTCTTTAGAATTTTAAATTTTTAACTTCAAAATATAATTTTAGAATTTTTTTTAGATTAATTTTTTTGTTTGTAAGACAAAATTTGAAAATTAGTTTTAATCAATTTTGTAGTCAGAATTTAAAATGTCAATTAAAATAAATAAAAAAATATTACTAAGTTTTAAAACTTTTACATTCAAAGAATTCACTTGAAAAGTTAGGAAATAACGACATATCACAGAAGAAGTGAAGATAATTCTGTTTCTTATAAGCCTACTAATTACTAATTAAAAATGGTGTTGGCGGATTTGGGCAGGAAGATAACATCGGCCCTAAGAGCATTCAGCAGTGCTACTGTTATAAATGAAGAAGTATGTGTGTTCGTTTTAATTGATTAGTTGTACCTATATTTAATACAAATTATATTGAATGTAATAAATTTAACTACATATTAAAATTTAATGATATGAAACTTGTGTGTCTTATAAATTTGTTTCACATTTTAAAATATATGTTAATTACTAAACACTGAAAAGGTTTTGAACTCCATGCTTAAAGAGATATGTGCTGCCCTCTTAGCATCTGATGTAAATGTTGTTCTTGTCAAGAAACTCAGAGAAAATGTCAGGTAAATTAAAAAGGCAAAAAATTATTACATTAGTGAATAAATTATGCATGAAATGATTAAGTGAGTGAATATGAATGGAGTATATAAGTGATTCTAATTGAATGAATGATTGAACATGTCGCAAAAGTAAATTATGAATTCTTTCAATAAATGCCTTTCAAGAAAGTATGTAATTTTTTAAGAATAACGAAACAAATGATTTTGAAATAATCCGATTGGACAGATCTGTTATAGATTTTGATGAGATGGCAGCTGGCTTGAATAAAAGGAGGATGATACAGTCAGCTGTTTTTAAAGAACTTGTCAAAGTATACAATTATTCAACTGAATAAAGTCTTTCTCAATCTATTTATTAATAACTTTGTTGAAAATAAAATTTTATTCAATTTTATAAATAATTTGTATTTGTGTGGAAAGTTAATAGATCCAGGTGTAAAGGCCTGGCAGCCACAAAAGAATCACGCCAACGTTGTCATGTTTGTGGGCCTACAGGGTAGTGGAAAGACAACTACGTGTACCAAGGTTTGTTTGTTTGTTTATTTATGGTAGTTGATTGATTGGTTAGTTTATCAGTTGGTAGATCATTTTTGCTTTGGTGGTTGGTTGGTTAATGTTGCAACAAGGATTGTTCAGGGATTCGCAAACACAACATCATCAACAACAACAACAACAACATTAACAACATCATCAAAAACAACAACATCAACAACAACATCATCAACAACAACATCAATAACAACATCATCAACCATCAACAACATCAACCAACAACAACATTAACATCAACAACAACAACAACATCAACATTAACAACAGTAACAACATCATCAACAACAAGATCAACAACAACATCAACAACAACATCAACAACACCACACCACTGAGCAGATGGCCTACTACTACCAGAAGAAGAACTGGAAGACGTGCCTGGTCTGCGCTGATACTTTCCGAGCGGGGGCATTCGATCAGGTCAAGCAGAATGCTACAAAAGCGAAAATACCCTTCTATGGAAGGTCTGCCCAGTGTGTCCATGTGATCATAAAATGCTGATGTGCATTCAATATGCATCCATTCTTTATCATCATCTTCTTACAGCAGATGTTTTTCAGAGATTATCATCAAATTTACATATTTATATGATATCAAGC